TTACACGGGTGTTTGCTAATTTTATTCTTAAAAATTTAAATACCTTTTAAAAGAATATATATATTATTATATATTTAGTATGACACATTTTTTTTGTGCGACTTACTTGTGTTATATTATAATAATTTTTTAACTTACAACATATAACTACATTAAAAATAAATATATCAATTGATAAATAATTTCATTTTTCTAATGAATTTTAATAAATATTATTATTTTTTATTATTATAAAGATAAATATAATTTATTTATTTCATATATACAATATGAATGTCAAATCGAAGATCATCAAAAGATGATTAATTTGATATATAATATATGTAAAACCGATAAGAAATACAAAAGTTATCAACTTTTAAAGTACATTTACATTTCAATAGCTAATTGAAGGAAACAAATCAAACGTCAGGATACATTAGTCACTTAGTGTCTCACTATGTAAAATACAAAGAATTAAAGGGTTATATTAGTACAATTGATATTAAAATACCTAAGTTAGCTAAATAATATTTATAGAATGTCCAAACCTAAGTTATTATTTATTAATATATCAATATTATTTGTCCAAATCTAATTACGAAGCATGATTCTTCGCCAAGTAGGATTACGAAGTACCAGAAGCAGTCACGTGGGCTCAGCGCATTCTGGAATTATATATATGGAGGATTAAGATAATTTTCTAAAAACCACCCAATTTTATCATATACATATATTTTGACATTTCTAACAAACTTTTATACTCTTATAACTTACGCTACCGAATATATTTTTTTAACCCAAAAATTATTCTTCTTAATTGATATTTTAACTTATAATATGTGAAGTCAACTAATCTCAAGTCCAATCCTCACCCCCACAACCCAAACTGGCCCGACCCGAAACAGGTTGAACCGCGCGGTTCGGTAAACCAACCCGTGCATATGTTTGGGCCGATTCAAGTGCCTCCAAAACCCCGACCCAGAACCGGCAGTTCCGGTCGGAACTGAATTTGGCCACGGCTAGTGAGAGGCCGTGGGTTTCAAGATCTGAAATATTATACAGGTGAAGATCAACTGTGCTGAAAGAAACGGGCAAATAAACGAAAATAACATACAAAGACGCAACAAAACGAAATGACAAGGAAGGATAAAAGAAATTACTCGTCTTTTCACCGCAAATAAAAATTACCTCTCGAAAGATGCAATCATGCAAATAGTTAACATTAGAACCTGCAGTTAGAACTGAATATTTATAGACCAGTATACAGTCTATACTCCATATAATTATTTCAAGTCTCAGGAATACTGAAGATTTGAAAGAGCAATCAACCACATATTTGAACAATGCCTATGAAATGTAAGGAGGAACTATTTCAATTTCATGGTTTTCCAAGCATCGGCAACTTCATACCAACCTAAAGACACATCACTTGCTTTCTTTCAATCAAAGATTTATGATTGAGTGAACGAGATTGCACGACCAAGGGAGCCCAGAAGCACCCCAAATAACAAGTTAACGGAAAAAGCCAACCACAAATCAAACTGAAAAAGAAGCTCAAGATGGTAGATTCAAACCGAAGAAGATCCCCACAACACTCCAGTCTCCAGTTACATACATAAAAGAGAAAAGAAACTCATCAATATAGCACCTTTAATGCAAATCCCTCCTGTAAACAAATGGTCTATCCTGATCAGCGTTCACTCTTGAAGTAGGCTCAACTACAATAATTTTCAGTTTCCATTTTCTTCTTTTGGTTCTCCTCCTACTCTATCAGCATGCTTTAGTTTTCTCTGCAGGGAAAGGTCAAATCACATTGGCATATACACAAGGGCGGATCTACATATGGTCCAGCCTAGGCAATTGTCTAGGCTGAATTTTATGTGCTAACTATACAATTCATATAGTTAATATGTGTTAATTAAAAACTTATATTTAATATAAAAAATAAATACTAAGTTTTTATTCTAAAATTTTAAACGATTCTTACCAATAATACTATTATTTTAATTTAAAATGATACACCTCACTTGTCAGATTTGACGGTATTATACTATAATATTTTTTAGTACTTAGACCATATAATAAGCTTGATAGATATATTAAATATTAATTTTTTATTGATTATATACAATATTAATGTCAAACGCAATGCACCTTGGGTCGCTACGGAAACAACCTCCTTGTATAATTACAAGGGTAAAGTCTGCGTACAACTGACCCTCAGACCCCAGCCAGTTGGGAATATACTGGGTATGTTGTTGTTGTTGTTGTTGTTTGTTTGTTTTACAATATGAATGTCAAATTATAGATTGTCAAAATATGACTAATTTAATTATCATATATAAAAAATGATAACATATATGAGTGTTATTAGTTTTTAAAATATATTTATCATATAAGTTAGTCAAGTGTTTAAAATTGAAAGTTCCGGCTAAAGATCAAGGATTATATCGAATCTTAAGAAATTAACATATAATATTACAAAGCGGTGGAAGTTGACTGTTAAAAACTCTACATTAATTTATAAGAAGATAATCAATAAGAACGATTTATATAATAACAGGAACAAAAATATAACATTTAGGCCCTTCTGAAATTAATAAATTATATCTCAAAATGACTTGTTTATAACTTATTAAAAATAAATGAAAAAAAAATGATTTTTTTTTTTGTATATTTCTTAATAATAATAAAAACCCAAAATAAAATAACCAGACCTCATTCTCAATTTTATTTTGTAGCATCAAGTCAAAGGCAAATTGAATAAGCAAGCCCTCAACTCCCGATTGCTCCCGATTGCCGAACGATTTATTTAATTCTTAATATAAGTACTTTGTGCAATAAGGTTAAAAAAATTTTAACAAATTTTGCTCTGACTCATTAAAATTTCTGGATCCGCCACTACATATACATACAAAATAAAAATAAAGTAAAACCACCAAAGACGGATGCACATTAGGTCCAGGGGTTTTTTTTTATGAAATTCAATATATATATATAACATTACAAAAAATGGATTAAATTGAAAAAGTAAACATATAAATAATTAAAAATTAGTTACTATGCTATTTTAATTTAAAATAATAATGTTATTTATTTATTGAAAGATATACTAACAATCCTAATATTTTACATTCCTATATAAGTTTTTAAAAATATTTATAATAATTTACTATTTGGACCTCTTAATTCTAATTGATTAGTGATTTATAAAATTGAGTATTTAGTTGGATTGTTAGATTTTTGAATGTTGATTTTTTACTTTATTTTTTTGGGAAAAATCGTTTTCACCCCAATACAAAGATACATTAAATTTTTTACACCGCCCAATAAAAAACTAAGTTTTTTACCCCAAAAAGTGCGAAGGTTATGCGAAAATTGTCGCATATTCATCGCATAACTGTCACATATGCGAAAGTTATGCGAAAAACTATAGCATAACTATCGCATATCAATTGCATAACTGTCGCATATTCATCGCACAATGCCTTCGCACTTTAACTTTTTTCCACTTCAGAAAGTGCGAAGGATATGCAAATGCCTTCGCACTTTCAACTTTCGCACAATGTCATCGCGCAATTGTCGCATATCCATCGCACAATGTCTTTCGCACTTTTTAGAATGAAAAAACTTAGCTTTTTATTGGACGGTATGAAAAACTTAACAAGACTTCAAAACGGAATAAAAATAGCTATTTTCACTTATTTTTTTTATGTAATCACATAAACACGGAATAAAAATAGCTATTTTTTTTATATGTTTTAAGAAAAACATATAAACACAAATGTTGTGTAATGTGCTGTAAAAGTTCAATTTAAATCAATTTTTCAACAAAAAAAACTTATTTAGTAAATTATAGGTGTTGAACGTAAATTATAAATACATGAAATCTCATTTTTTTTGGTTGTTTACTTAAAAGTTTGAGAGTAATACGAATTCTAAGTCCTTTTAAAATTTGATGGTGCACATATCTAAGTCCTTATAAGAACACATTTTTAGATGAAATGAGCGTTTCGACATAAACTACAAGATCGTTATTTAACATTTAAGATGAGCCCCCTGAGTAAAATTCCTAGATACGTCACTGAAAACCACTGAGTATATCAGTGTAGAACTTCTTTTGTTTGCCTGGTAGTGTTTATCTAGGGGTGCTCAGGGAATTGATACCTTTTTTGTTGGCCTATTCTTTTTTTGATAAGTGAGTGATGATAGGAAACTACATATCCTAGCTATTGTTATGATGTCTAGTGGTTTGGTATCTCTCTTTTGCTTGGTAGTTTATAGCAAGGCTCCTTTCTGATTCATAAAGAAAAAATCACTATACCTTTGGATCAGAGACGGTGAAAGAACAATATACAGAAAAACTGGCATCAGTGACATAAAGGTCGTATAAAAGGTGTAGAAAAGCATACAACTTCATATCGGTCATTTCAGCCTCTCTTAGCATGGTTCAGTCACTGAAACCTTTTCCGGGTTTCCTTATATCGTGCGATGAAAATAGCATGAGACATACCCAGTTACCATAAGCAAACCCAGTATCAAGTAAGACTGAGAATTTAGTAGACTGTGATACGACAGCAATGTAGTATATTTACGAGTCCATATAGTTCATACCTAAAGCAAAATAAAAATTGATCCTTGACTTTACTATCCTCGAAAGAAAGTTAGATTTTAATAAATATATATATATACAGTCTAACAGCTCTTGACAGAGAAGGTATAAATGTAACTATCAGGTTTCCCAAACATAAATTAAGCCATATTTCAAATGCATGAAGATCAGTACAAGCAATAAGCAGGAAATCGTAGATACTAAAAACTACTTGCAGGCTTGAAGATTAAGCACAGATGTACCATTGCATCCATCAGGATTCCAATTTCCAACAAAAGGAAGACACAGTGTTTCACAGTTCCATTATTTCTTCAAAGTGCAAACAACTACAAAGAAATGGTCGAAATAATTTTAAAGCACGAGCGTTGTTCTAAACAGAAATCGAAAAAATCAGAACCTTAACTTCTCATAGACCACCGACTTCTGCCGGTGTCTTGGCCGTAATCGACAAAGCATGAAGTCCACTTTGCAACTCATCATGCAACAAGCTGTAAATCAATCTATGCCTCTTGACCAAGCTCTTGCCTTCAAACTCTTGAGAAACCACTTTTACATTGAAATGCGTCTCGCCGTCACTTCCTCTGACACCCGCGTGGCCAGCATGCTGGTAAGAAACATCCTCAATTTCCAACTTGACAGGACTCAGTCCTTTCTCTAGAGTCTCCTTTATCCTCATCCCCCTATTCCCCAATACACTTCCACTGCTAGGGTCCTCCCTCAAGTTGCTGTCTTTTTCACTAGACTCGACCCCATCATTTCCAATATCATCATCGATCGGCACAAAACTAAGACTGTGATGTGGGACCTTTTCAGCTGTATCACTGCTTGAACTATCAGCCTTCTCGTATTCAACATACAATTGCAGAGCCTTCTTTTGCATTAATTTCAACATATTCAAGAACCCATTATTCCTGGATGGGGTTAAGCTCTGCTGCAACCCTAAAAGCACCACGAAATCGGGCGACACCTTCACAATCTTCTCCACGGGCTGTCCCGAAAGGCCTTGGACGAGCAACGCGGCCAGCCCTTTTGTGAGAACTGAATCCGAATCTGCTTCAAAGATGACATTTTTATCACCATCCAGATATGCCCGGACCCAAACCTGGGAAACGCAGCCTTGTACCTTGTTCTCGCTTGTTTTGTACTGGGGTTCCAAAGGGTTTAGATTCCGGCCATAGAACAATAGCTGCTCGTACTTGGCTTTCGGTTCTTGAACTCCTTGGAATAGGTTAACGATTTCTTGGAGCTTAGGGGGAAGCTCCTCAATGGGCTGGATAGAAGCTGAGGGCTGCATAGAAGATGAAGGCGAAGATGAAAAAACCGGTCGGTTGGTTGATAATCTTTGGAAAGTGATGGGCTTACAGAAGAATAAGTTGGGGATTTGGAGAGGAGAATAAGATTGGGTTTTCGAGGATTTCAGGAATGGAGCTGCGAGGCGGCGAAAGAGAAGTGAGTGAGGTATTTTGGTGGAAATTGACATGGTGATGAGTTTTCCTTTTTTTTCCTTTTTCTTTTTTATGTTCAGAAAATGTGTTGTTTGATTATTGCTCATCAGAGATTGGAGAGATTCGAACGACGACGGGTTGCATTTGCTCAAGTTCTGAAATTTTCGGTCCGGTCCGGTTCTTCATTTCCTTATATGTCGCAATAAGAAAGATTCATCCATTTATGCTATTGAAAGATGTGATTCATACGTTTGCGGTAGAGATTTGAAGTTTATGTGGTATAATTTTCATCTTGTGTTTTTTATTTTTCAAATTTGAACTTGAGTTATTTAAGTTCAAAAGACAACAATCTCATGTCGCGTTGTTACTCGTTTGTCTCCATCATTGTCTCTCTCACCTTTCCTTTTGTCTCTAGACCACCTCCATCATCACACACTCGGTTGGTCTCTGTCATCGACCCACCTTCTTCGTCGTCAGCCTATCGCCCGTCTCTGATTGTTACTTTTTTTGTTTGAAGAAAGACTCAAACTACTGGGGGATCTCACTCGTTACGTGCAAGTTTTGTTTTGAGGCATTCCAGTTAATTAGAGAGTTGTTCGCCACCAATTTACTGTTGGTTGGGCATAATTTTTTCGCTCGACGTCTTCTTTTTGTAAGAATATGTGGCCCGAAAGCATTGGGCTCACAATTAATTATCCTATTGGGCTGGCCTTTATTTAATAGTCAAACAAATCTAAGCCATTAATCTGGATATTTGA